CACCGGTCGGGTCCTCAGCACCAGCAGCAGCGCCACCGGTCGGGTCCTCAGCACCAGCAGCAGCTCCAACGCCCGGGTCCTCAGCACCAGCAGCAGCTCCAGCCCCCGGGTCCTCAGCACCAGCAGCAGCTCCAGCGTCCGGGTCCTCAGCACCAGCAACAACACCACCGCTCGGGTCCGCAGCACCAGGAGCACCACTACGAAGACTGCAGCGCCGCGTGTACCACTCGCGGATCACCTGAATGGGGGGGAGCTCCTGGGTAGGAGGGGAAGTACCGGGACGAGCTCCAGAAGCACCTCTCCGGAGGCGGCAGTACTCGAGGTACCTCTCCTGCAGCTGCTGGGAGGAGAGGGCTCCTCCAGGTGGAGCACGCTCAGGCTCAGCACCCCCAGACTCAGCACCCCCAGACTCAGCACCCCCAGTCTCAGCACGTCCAGGCTCAGCACCCCCAGGCTCAGTACCTCCAAACTCCGCACCTCCAGGCTCCGCACCTCCAGGCTCCGCACCTCCAGGCTCAGCACCCCCAGGCTCCGCACCTCCAGGCTCAGCACCCCCAGGCTCCGCACCCTCAGACGCAGTACTCCCAGGCTCAGCACCCCCAGACGCAGGACGCGAGTCAACAGCTACCTCGACAGGCTCACCCGGGTCTACCTGGGACACACCTGAGGGAGCGGCACCCTGAGGGGGGAGGGGGTCTGGTACCTCAGCACCTGGAGCGAGGAAGAGAGGCGGGGGGGGGAGCGGGGCAGTGCGGTAGGGGAAGAGGCGGTAGAAGGGGACGGACTCGTCAAAAGTGACGTCCTGAGAGGCCAGAACCCGGCGCGAGGTGACGTGGTAAAACTGCCATCCAGGCGCGTCGGGAACAAAGCCAAGAAAGACACAGGGAACAGCGCGACGCGAGAGCTTGTCCGCGGACGTGTCGCGGACAAAAGCTCGAGATCCCCAGACCCGGAAACGCGACGCATCGCCAACCTCTCCCGTCCACCGTAGAGTCGGGGAAGTCTCCGGCAAGGAGACACGGGGCCAGAGGTTGAGCTGATGCGCTGCGTACCGGACCGCAAACGGCCACAGAAAGTGGGGAGCAGCCGCATGGGTCAGGGAGGTACGAGCGACCTCCATGACCAAGCCAATGCGGCGCTCAGCGACCCCATTCTGCTGTGGAGAGGCCGGAAGCGTGTACGACTGCTCAATGCCGTGCTCAGCACAGTAGGCTGCCAAGAGGTCGGAGGCAAACTCACCACCTCTGTCAGAGTGCAAGCGCAGGACAGGAAAGTCCGAGTGAAAGCGCTCGCCTAGCTGGAGACGGGCTCGGCTGATCCAGGGGATCAAAACACCAGGGACGTCACCCTTGGCGCGCAAGGGGAAGACCGTGGTGTAGCGCGAGTAGTCGTCAACAACTATCAGGAAGTATCTCTCCTGACCCTGACCACGGACGCGGGCTGGGCCCCACACGTCCATGTGGAGCGTCTGCAGGGGAGCGGTCGTCGGGGGAAAGGAGGAGGAGTGAGGAGCGGCGCGCTGCCGCCCCTCGACACAGGGAATGCAGTCAGGAGCAGGGGAGTCAGGAAGGGGAGGGAGCACCCTGGGAAGACCAGCAACAAGGTCCCGTTTGTGCATGGCCCGCAGGCGCTGCACAGACGGGTGACCAAGGCGGTGGTGCCAGAGGACGGTGTCGTTCGCCAGAGAGCGACACGAGCAGGGGGCGGACAGCTGACCTGACGCTGACGCAGACGCAGCTACCTGAGGGGACTCAGTGGTCAGTGTGTACAGGTCAGACCCCGGCTCTCGAGTGAAAGTAGCTAGGTGGCGGCCCGTCCGAGCACACGTGCAGTGAGTCACACGCTCGTAGGCAGGGGTGAACTGGTGAACACCCCCGTCCTGGAGCGCACTACCTGCCACCAAGTTCGTGGAGAACGAGGGGAGGTGGAGACCTGAGAGCGTGCCGGACGGAACCGCTGGACACGGAAGGGTGGTGGAGGAGGTCGCAATGACCGGACCCCCAGAGGGGTCAGCAAGAGAGACAGCAACCGGTTGAGCTAGAGGCTCAAGGACAGTGCGGTCACGAAAGAAAGAGCGAGAAGCACCTGAGTCCAGTGTGAAGGTGTGCAGTGCTGCAGTCGACTCAGTACCAGGGGGCACAGACGCACAAGCACCTAGAGCAGCAGCTGCAGTAGTACCTGTGGAAGCAGACACACTAGCACCTAGAGCAGCAGCGGGGCTGGCCTGAATGCCCGGGTCGGGCGGAACACGCAAGTACTGAGCACCCTCTCCACTAATAGACATCGCATACATGGCAGTGAGAATAGCATCAAAGTCTAGTGCCCAAATATCAACACCCTTCCTGAGCAGCTCAGCCCAGCGCGGCAGCTCACCCCCACCAGGAAACTGGGTGCGCCACGCATCGTTGAGGCGGGCGAAGCAGCGCTCCGTCTGGTGCGGCCCCCCACACGTCTGGCCAGTGCGGTCACCTGTACGAATAACGTACTGGCAGGTGACGCTGCGCCGCGCATACCACTCACGGGCGGCCTGAAGGGTCGGGGCAGGCTGCTGACTCTGACCGCCCCCCGGGCCTCCACGACCACCACCCCCTCCGCCTCCGCCCCGGCCACCTCCACCCCTGCCGCTGCCACGACCACCTCCGCCTCCGCTGCCACCTCCGCCCCTGTCACCACTCCCAACGCCGCTGTCACCTCCACCACTGCCGCCACTAGCCTCTCCAGTCGCACCTCCACCGCCACCACCTCCACCCCCGCCTCCTCCGCCACCACCCCCACTCCTGCCACTCCTGCCCCTGCGTCGTCCGCCTGAAGCAGACGCAGCCCCGACCTTCTCAGCACCAAGGAGGTCGACAGCAGCAGCAGAGGCGACAGAGGGGAGGAGGGGGGAAGGGGAGCACCCCTCAAAGAAGGGGCCGCGGGGGTCGCCACGAGAGGTGCCTACAGCGACGATACTAGCCTCGGCTGCAAGCAGTTCCTTCTCGAGGAGGTCTACGGTGAGCTCAGTGGGGGAGCGAGAGAGGAACTGGTCCCTGACAGGGCGCAGAGAGTCAGGGAGGCGGGTGACAACGTGGTAGAGAGTGATCCAGAGCGGGGGGGGGGTTGCTAGCGAGGAACTCGTCAGGCATGGCAGCGCGAAAGCGAGCCTCACTAGTCTTAAGGTGGGTGATGAGGTCTGCGACAGTGTGAAAGGAGGCTAGGTCGGGGAACAGGTAGGGGAGAGTGAGGCGGCCTAGCGTGGCAGAAGCGGGTGAGGAGTAGCGGGCCACTACAGCTGTGTAGAGGTCCTTAGCAGTCTTGCACTGGCCGAAGTGCTCGCGCTCATCTAGCGGCAGGGAGTTGCGAATAGCAAAGCGAGCGTGCGCGTCACGGGTCTGCCACTGTGAGCGCTCAGCTGGGGGGGCAGTAGCGAGTGGGGCGGTCGCATGGCCGAGAGCGTGGTCGTACAGTGTAATATCTTCCTTGGCAGTGAGCTGTAGGAAAAGGTGCAGGTCATCTAGCCAGGTTTCGAATTTGACCGGACGGCCCTCGGCGTCGAAAGCTAGAACAGGAGGACTAGCCATAGCGACAGCGGCAGTAGTAGAAGCAGTAAAGTCACTGAAAAGGCGTGCGCAGGGTCAGCGGGGCCGGTGGGGCCTACGGACTGTAGTGGCGCACAAGCAGCAGTAGCAGGAAGTGTAGTAGTAGGATCTGCAGTGGTGCACAGGCGCAGCAGGCGGCAGCGAGAGCCGGCGCAGCAGGGGCGGGCTCAGCAGCGGTGATACGCGGGCGGCGGCGGGCGCAGCAGCGGCGGTGCGCGGGCGGCTGCGGGCTCAGCAGCGGCGGGCCGGGAGCAGGCAGCGCGCGGGCCGTGCGGGCCGTATGTGAGCTGCGCGGGCAGCGTGCGGGCCGGCGGCGGTCAGCGCAAGAGCCGCGCAGGCTCAGCGCGGGCTGCGCGGGCTGCTCGCGGGCTGCGTAAGCGGGTCGCGGGCGGCTCGCGGGGGTTCGCGGGCAGGTCGCGGGCTGCTCGCGGGCAGTTCGCGGGCTGTGCGCGGGCTGCGCGGGCTGGTCGCGGGCTGCGCAGGCGGTTCGCGGGCTGTGCGTGGGCTGTGCGTGGGCGGTTCGCGGGCTGTGAGCGCGGCGCGCTGTGCGGTTCGCGGGCGGCGTGACGGGGCCGATCGGGGCGCTAAGGGGCGACGCGACGGGGGCCGTGAGAGGCCGCTAGGAAAAAAATTCGAAGGGGCCGCAGGGCCGCTAGATCGTGCTAGATCGACGGGGCCAGCGGGGCCGGAAACAAGCGAAGGTAAGCAGGTAGGTAAGTCGGTGGGCCCTAAGAACAGTCCTAGCGAAGGACCTGCTCTGAAACCATGTCAGAAATAACTGAGCAGGAATGAATTGAACTAGCACAGAGTTTTGGTACAAGTAGGAAACCCTAACTTTGTGTACCCCCTAAGGTGTAACCCACTACAGCCTAGACAATATAAACATGCAATGTTTGACAGGTACCTGACCTGCTAATGATCGACGACGTCGTGCGCGCCTTCGCTGACCACATCGGCCGCAGCAGGGAAGACTACGCGAAGTTTCAAGAGATGCAGAGGATTTTCTGCCAGACGAATCTCGAGGCGCAGGGGATAAGCGACACACGATGGCTCGCCCGCGGTGAAGCGATACAGCGCCTGCTAGACGTGCTCCCAGCGGCCATTGTGGTGATGAAGGATTACAAGGCGGATCTGTACGAGGTGGTGACCTCGTTCAAGTTCCACTGGCTCATCCGCTTTCTGGCGGATGTGCTTTGGGAGCTGAACAGTCTAAACCTGCGGTTCCAGCAGCGCCAGGTAAGCGTCCTTGTTGCCGGCGTCAATGTTGTCTGTTGCAAGCAGGTGTATTAACTAACGCGTTGCGATCCCCATGTGCAGGTGGACGTCACCCTTGTTGCGCACATCGTGCAGCAGACGAGGATGCGTTTGAAGACGCGGTATTCCCTCCGCGACCCTACACACACTTTCGGCAGCGGCGAGAAAATGCAGCTTCCCGAGTTCATTCAGAGGCACGGGGCAAAGGACAAGCGCGAGATGAAGGCGGAGGGCGTAGACGGGGACGGGAATCCCATATCGTTCGAGTTCGCGCTGCACGAGCGCCCGCTGCCTGGACACGAGACGGAAGGCGATGTCACTGCGTGCGTCGAGCTGTCGATCAAGTACGTGCGCGCCATTGACAAGGAGCTGGAGTGGCGGATGCGCGACCTGGAGCTCCTGGAAGGCTCGAAGCTGTTTCGCACTGCCTCGTACGTGTCTGACGACACGAAGCGACTAGAAAACCTTCAAGAAGTGGCTCGGGCAACTGCACAAGTTGTACCACCACAAGCTGCCAGGTAAGCCAGATGTGGCGCTTGCTCTCTTTATGATGTATGTTGTGACTTTCATGCGTGTCATGAGGTTAACCATTGCACATCCTGCACACCGCGGCCTGTTGGACTAATGCCCCCCACCCCAACCCGTGTCTGCGAGCATCGGCTTAGCTATCACCCGCACTCCGCCCCACCACAGGGTTCGACTACAAGAGAGCCCAGCAGGAGCTGTGGATGTTTACATCCACAATGTTCGCCCAGCACAACAACGAGGAATTCCACCAGGCGCTGACAAACATGCTGCGGGATGATGCATGGCGTGTCTCCTTCCCCAACATCATGCGGATGTGGCAGTCAGTGGCCGTGCTGCCATTGAGCACGGTCGAATGCGAGCGTGGCTTCTCGAAGCAGAATCTGATCAAGACGTGGGGCCGTGGCAGCCTTGGCGACACAAGCCTGGAGCACCTGATGCGTTACTCCCTGCTGCGATACGATGTTGACTGGTTTGAGGTGGTCGCTATCTTCCGTGGAGAGAAGCTGCGGCGATCCACCAGGGAGTTCGATGCCTCCAGAGCTTCACAGACTCAGTTTGTAGAAGACGTAGGCAGTGGGGGTGGCACTGAGTAGGTGTGTAGTTCATTTGTGACTTTGTGTGGAGTTAATGGACTCTGGGTGTATTACATCATTTTTGATTACATAAAACATGTAGCAAACAAAACTGTAACCAAAACAGGGTTGGCCCGAATCTACACTGCTCAAAGCCGCCTAGTGCCTGAGTTACCCTGCTGAAATCAGGCTACGGAAATTTTTACCCTAGGGGTCTGTTCTAGGAGGGGCTGGTACCCTGATTTGTAAGAGTAGGCCTAAACCAATTTTGGGCCCTGATATTCTTGTATCTCTTTGCTATAATCAACTTACTTTGCCCTCACATACTAGCGCAAGGTGGTTCACAAACTCTTCATTAAACGCTTCCGCTACTACAAAAGTTCCTACTTAGAGTTCACCCCTGAAAGGATCCTAAGGGCTTTTTCAGCCCAACACATTTGATCTCACCACGTCACTCAACATACAACGAATTGGCAAACATAATGCCTCTGCGAATGCTCTCACTAGCCTTGGTAAACTTATCTACAAGAGCTTGCTCTCCAATGGCTTGAGCTGCCAGCTTCATCTGCTCGTATAGGAAAAAAGAATGGACATGCATAGATTTCAAAGCAATAGCAGGAAGTTCAGGCACGAATCCAGTGTGCGCAAATCCTAGTACTTGGAAAATAACTACCAAATAATTCCTACCTCGTTTAGAAGCTCATCGAGCCGTCGAGCCACGCGCACAATCGTCCCCTCAAACGCATCCGTGCTGTCTATGACCTTGCCAAATGACTCTCCCTGCAGTCCAAGGAACAAACAAAGGAGCCCATTTTGACGGCACAGAAAAACAGAAGTGAAAGAAGCAAACCCAAGCATAAGAAGAGCCTGTAGTGTTTGTTCTTCTCTTCATCCTCTTGTTAATCATCCCTCATCCCACCACCTTCACTTCGGACCACTGATGGAACACGCTCATGAGTGTTGGCCGGATTTAATTCACGTACCCTTTGTCAACCTCTCTCTTCTCCTCAACTTGCACTCAGGACCGCAGTACACCTGTCCTCTTCACCTCCGCACCGCAATCAACCCCTCACCTTGGACCACTGGGAAAACATCTTCATGAGCGTCAGCCGGTATTGATCCACGTACTCCTCGTCCACTTCTATCTTCTCCTCTATTTGCACGTAACCACCTCAGTACCGCACCAAACTCTTCCTTTTCACCTCCGTACCAAACTGAACCCCTCACCTTGGACCACTGGTAGAACACGTTCATGAGCGTGGGCCGGAATTGATCCACGTACTCCTCCTCGTCCACCTCTATCTTCTCCTCAATCTGAACCCGTGCTATGTGCTGCGCTGCTTCCCTTAGCACATTGTAATGCGGCTTTAAGTCCGCTGCCACAGGCTGCAGGAGGGAGGGTAGAGGTGCAGAGATGGAGGAGGGGGAACCACAGAGCTTCACTTCAGCTGTGTGCTGTGCTGCTTCCCTCATAACATTGTAATGCGGCTTTAAGTCAGCCGCCACGGGCTGTAGGGAGGGAGAGAAGGAGGAAGGAGGCAAGAGCCGATGGGGTAAGAGAGCAACAAGGAAGAACCTAAAGCCAGCCAGAACAAGGCTCACTCACTGTTCCTCATAGCTTTAACTGAAGAAGGCTCATTCACCCACTCATTCCTTCACTCACTCACTCCCTCACTCACTCACTCCTTCACTCACTCATTCACTCACTCACTCACTCACTCACCCACTCACTCACCTGCTCCTCGTTGGACTTCTCAGAGGGCAGGAAGCAGCTAGCCACGGCAACCAGCAATCCGCATGCATGGAGTTGAACGCCCCCTCACTTGTTCCTGATGGCCCGAGAAATAACCGGACGAAGGATCATTTGCTCACCTGCTCGTTGGACTTCTCAGGGGGCAGGAAGCAGCTGGCAACAGCAAACAGCTGGTGAGGGACGACGGAATTAAAATCTCCCTCCAGCATCACCTCATCACCTCACATGGCCGCAAAATTGAAGCAAGGCTGAAAACACTCACTTGTTACTCACGGCCCGAGGAATAACCTCCCTCTCTCACCTGCTCCTCGTTGGATTTCTCTCAGGGCAAAAAGCAACTGGCCACGGCCACGAGCTGGTGTGGGCCCATGGAGTTAAAAGCGCCCTCCAGCATCAGCTCCTCCGTCACCAGCACCTCATCGCCTGTCGAGGGCTTCACATATCCCATGCAATGGCCTCCAAAATTAGGCCAAAAAATGGCCCAATCCCCATCTCTTGAGGGGCTGATAAGCACTCATGTGATCCCCATGGTCTGGCCTGAAGCACACACTCACCTGCTCCTCATTTGACTTCTCGGAAGGCAGGAAGCAGCTGGCAACAGCAACCAACTGGTGCGGGTCCATGGAGTTGAAAGCGCCCTCCAGCATGAGCTCTGTGACCAGCAGCTCATCGCCGGTCGTGACGACACACGCCGCGCGGCCCTTGAGCTGCACCACGCCCTCCGCGTTGATGTGGCCCAGCCGCTTGAGCACCCGCGAGCGGTTCCTCAGCTCCGACTTGAACAGGGACAGCTGCAGGGGATGAGAGGCACGAGAGGGACACATGGGGTGGGCGATTGAGCACATATGAGCAACTGACGCACGCCGCCCGGCCCTTAAGCTGCACCACCCCCAAATCCCCCAAATCCCGTCAGGGGATGGCGGATGGTAGGAGCAGCTAACCACATCACACACTCTCCTGCCACACCACACTCCTCCCCATGGCCCTGGGACTCCTCCCCATGGCCCTGGGACTCCTCCCCATGGCCCTGGGACTCCCTCGACTTCATGTCGACCCGCTGTGCCTCTGCCAGCAGCTGCTGGTCACAGAAGCTCAACAAGGCGCCACACCACACCTCTTATCACCGCTCATCACTCCTCCGCACGCACCTGTGACTCCCTTGTCTTCATCTTGAGGCGCTGTGCCTCTGCCAGCAGCTGGCCTCGCCTCTTGAGCACCTCCAGCTTCTGCTCTGCTACCTCCGCCTGTAAGGGGAGGATGGACGCGGAGTGGAAGAGAGAGGATGGTGGCAGGGGGTTGGGAGGGGGTGAGGAGGTGGGGAGGAGGTGTGGAGAGGGGGGGGGATGTTAACCTCTTCAGCCCGTGCACAGTGCAATGCAATCCAATTCAAGGAACCTGTTAGTGTGACCTGATTGCAAGTGTGTTTCGAGTCGACTCATAAGACAACGTGAGGTGGTGAGCAGGTGCGGGGGTTCACCTCTTAAGAGTCTGCATAGTGCAATGCAACACACGAATCCTGTTACTGTATGTAACCTAATTGCAATTCACAGTTCAATGCACTGTGCAATGTGATTCACTTGGCTGACTCCACAAGTGTAACGGCCTAACCTGTTAGTGTAACCTGATCTGCTAGTGAAGCACCTTAAAGAGGGGATGCTTGGCGAGCTTGCTCTCCTCCTGGTCGATGGAGTGCACCAAATCCAGGAATGACTCGTCCATGATGCCCATGTCCTGCCATGGAGGGTCAGATGGCCAAAGAGTGACAGATGGAGACAGATTTTACATGTCTCGAACACTCAGTGTGACGTCAGGGAACCGCTGGGTGTCACCAGCACGACCTGCCGGCCCTGGGAGATCTGGGGTGTCTCAAACAGCCAACTCATCCACTCATTGTCTCACTCCCTCACCAACTCATCTACCGACTTACTCCCTCATTCACTCACCTCCACCGGATCTAGAATGGGCAGCCCGTCAGGGAAGCGCTGGGTGACGTCCCTGAGTGTGACCAGCACGGCCTGGCGGGCCTCCTTGGGGCGAAGGTCCGTGGGGAGAGCAATCCTGAGCGCGCCTATTCTGGCAACTGCTGGCAGCTTCACTGGGATCTGCAGGGGACGGATGGCGACAAGGGGAGGGGGGGGGGGGGGGGGAGAGCCTGATCTTGGAACCACAGCCTGCCTGGCGGGCCTCCTTGGGGCGCAGATCCGTGGGCAGGGCGATTCTGAGCGCCCCGATTCTGGCGACTGCTGGCAACTTCAGTGGGATCTGTGGAGGGGTTGGAGAGGTAGGAGGAAGAATAGCTCATGCATGATTCTGAGCGTCACCAGCACGGCCTGCCGCGCCTCCTTGGGGCGCAGATCCGTGGGCAGAGCGACTGTGAGCGGTCGTATGCGCGGCAGTGGTGGGAGGTTGACAGGGATCTGGAGTAGTCGGGAGGGGAGGGAGGAAAGGAGGGGAGGGGCGGGAAGTAGGAGGGAGGAGTGAAGGGAAGGAGGACAGGGCAGAGAAAGGCCCAGTCACACATGAAAGGAAGGCGCTCATTCATGGAGAAAGGCGCTCGTTCAAGTCTAAGGGAGAGAGAGAGAGGAGATATGTTACGTCTGAGGGACGAAGTCAAGCACAAGCCACCCACTCACCATGTGCATCTCCCCATTCCCTTCCAACGGGTACAG